AAGTTGGTTCTCGTAGGCAATACACAAAGCGGCAAGGAACTCATCATGCACCAGCTGAAAGTGCTATTCACCGAAGGCTATCACTCGACTGAAGAACGGTTGAAATACCGCTCCGCAATCTACCAAGTCATACACTCACTCATTCAATCAATCACAAACCTACTCAAAGACACCGGCGTCACGCTCTCCAAAGAACTAAACCACGACTTCGCCATCCTACTCCACGAGCTAGACACAGCAAAAGAAGGCATAACCCCCGACGCAGTCAAAGCCATCACAACAATCTGGTCCTGCCCCGAATTCTCCAAACTCTACGTCCGAAACTTTGAAATCGACTTCCCACAATACGCCCCTTACTTTGCGCAAGAAGCACCCCGCATCGCCGACGCAGACTACGTCCCCAGCGAAGCCGACATCATCCGCCTCAACCAGTCCATGCGCGGCATAAACGAAGCACGCTTCAACTGGGACGAACTAGACGTGCACCTCTTCAACATCCGCGGCTACGTGCCCCAGCACTTCCGCGAGCGCTGGTACCACCAACTCGACGAAGCCACCGCCGTCATCTACACCGTCGACGTATCCCTCTACAACAAACCCAGCCCCCAGTTGCCCAACCAATCCATCCTCGTCCACGAATTCGAAGCCTTTGAGACCTGGGTCAACCAATCGGGCTTCGCAAAATCCTCCATCATCCTCATTCTCAACAACTTCTCACGCTTCGTCAGCAAAATGGCATATGCGCCCCTGGAGAAACTCTTTCCTGACTACGTCCGGAACGAGTCTGATCCGGAATTATCGGCGCGCCAATACATTCTCAAGCGCTTCAAGAGTAGGAATCATCAGTGTCTGCCTATTTATTCCTTTTGGGTCGATTTGGATTCGAGCGATAATCAGCACTTGTATCAGGCGTTGAAGAGTACGCTGAGTAAAGTTCAGCAGCAGCAGCAGCAGCTGGAGCGGCAGCGTAGGGCGAGGGAGGAGGAGGGAGAGGAGGGGGGTGCGTGGGGTTCGAGTGTTGGGTCGGTTACTGCTACTGCTGCTGCTGAGGCGGATTCAGATAGGCCAGTTACGAATGGGGCGTCTAGGGCGAACTTGTTGAGTCCGAGTCGCAGTAGAGGGGCGCTGAGGGAGAAGTAGGAGATGAATCCGGATTAGGGCTGCTTGTTTGAAACGACTCGAGTGGTTGGGTTGGGTTAGATATGTGATAAGGGTGATGGGTTAGGGACGGGACCTAGAAGGGGGGTTGGGGGGGTGTTTGGTAGTTTTGCATCTTGAGATTGGCGTTTTTGCGGCTTTTGGGGGTTTGAGATACCATGGTAACGGGCGGTTGTCATTTCTGGATATACACATGGAGATACTTTTCAAGCATGGCGAAAGTCGCCGTTGCTGTTGTTCCACATGGACACATCATGTGTAGACTGACTTGTCGAAGAAGAACTGTTTTTTTGCTTACTGCTTAATGTCCAATACTCATACCATGTTTCAACATGGATACGTGTGCTCGCGTACTAGAATAGCCGCAACAATGACAAACGACGGTAACGCAATACACTACCTTGGCCCTCCTCAGTAGAGTTTGGCAACACCCGTGCAGGAAGGATAAACGGTCAGCTGACATCACGTCAGTCCCTGATCCAAGAAAAACCCCCCTTCCGCCTCCAGCCGCTTGTCAATCGTCAGCCGCAACTCCAAACACCTAGAAACAATCTCTTTTCCAAAGCGATAATCCCCTATAACCTCCCGAGAGCAGCAGAAACGTTCATCATCGTCAACGGCAATGTTTTTTTTTCAACCTTGGATCTTCCTAAGTTGAATACGGGGTGTACTACCGCAGTCAAGATTACCCCTCTTTCTACTTAGTCCAATCCGAATAGCCGCGAAGTTGACCAAAGACCGCGTGGCCACGGTCTCAGATATCATGATGTGGTGCCATAAACTGCCAGCGTCGCAAGTAGTCTTGGCGTAAGCTTTCTACGCAGAAACATGCCTGATGGGGTAAGATACTCGTTCGAAGGATGGTGGAGTTGCGGCCAGCCCGCTAGTTCGAACTTGCGAACTGTTTGTCTCTTCCCTTATTGCTGAATCTTTTTTTGGTTCTAGGGGAGAGGATTTTGCGCAGCTGAGACACAGTCAAATTGACTGTGCTCACGCCAGGTCGTACTCATAACCGCAGCAGGTCTCCAAGGTGAACAGCCTCTAGTTGATAGAACAATGTTGATAATGGAAGTCGGCAAAATAGATCCGTAACTTCGGGAAAAGGATTGGCTCTAAGGGTTGGGTACGTTGGGCCTTGGGGAGAAGCCTCTGGCGCAGAAGGAGTGTTGTCTCTTATCTTGGCCAACTGCTTTCTTGACAAAGGTAGTTTAGATGGGCAGTTGCGGCACCGAAGAAAAACATCCTTACAAGAACGTTTTTCAGATGAAAACTGGCTGCTCTAAGACCGAGGCATCGTGTCCAAACACGTCATGCTAGTTGTGGTTCATGTCAGCTTATGCGCCTTCGCTGTTTCACAGCCGAATCTTCCGAATAAGGAAGGCTTGGGAAAGAGAGGATTTCGAACCTCAATGCGGGGCAGCAGGATGATGATGATACCCCTGATAATAAGGCGAATGCGAGGTAGTAGGCAGACTCACGTTGAGATTGCTAGATGTCTGGCTGTGATATGTGTAGTCCGCGCCGCTGTAGCCATACAGATCCGAGCTCGGGAGGGATTCGCGGGGGAAGTGTGAGGGCGCGGGTGTTGTATGCGCTTGCTGGAATGTCGAATGTGCTGGATGAGTGTTGTATCTGTACATGGGTGGTCGGGTGATGGTAGCTTGTTGGGGAGGATACGCGAGGCTCTGCATCCACGCTGGCGGCATATTCCAAGGTATGTTCGCTGGTGGAGGTGGAGAGTAAACGGACGCATTCCAGGTAGGTTGGTAAGGAGGATATGCTTGCTCGGCTGGGACATGGTTCGTGTCGAAAGACGCGACAGTAGCAGCCAGTATGGCCTGTGTTACAACTGCGCTGTTCGCACGTAGAGCACGATCGGACGGCACTATATAGGGTGACGAACTTGGGCCTGCGACTTGGTAGTCTGCAGATAGGGAGCGCGGATATATCTCGTGTTGTTTTGGCGAAGGTTCTGGGTCCTGGTGGCTGTCTGAATCATCGTTGACCAACTGCTGGAGGTATTGAAGCTTGCGTTTGCGCTTCTCTCCTACACCATGCGTGTTAGTTGTCTCCGCCATCAGTTACGGCTAGTAGACTAACATACGATAGTTGCGTGAAGCTATCCTGTTTTGTTGCTTCCGTATCTCGCTATTGGGTTTCTTGGGTTTCTTGCCTGGTTCCTCGCTCACTGCCGCTCGCTTCGGTCGTCCACCTGTTATCGAGAGAGATTGTGGCGATACGTTGTTGGAAGGGAAGTCCATGGCGCCAGAAAAGTGCGTAAGGGTAACCAGAGTTATGGGATTCGATAATGTCACAAAGGCGTTGGCAAAGGCTTGCTTTTGAGCCGCCGATCAGTCCGTAAATGTAAACTGGCAGGGTTACATCCAAGCAGTTAACAAAGCTTGGTCTTTACCTTACGTTGACGTTGATCTGATAAAGGCAGGGACACGGCTTCTACTGCCGCTGCTTTTCCTGGGCACTGCTGAGTAAACGCTACAAGAATAGCAACGGCACCCAATGGGTGGCGGAGGCGAGCAACGCACAACTTGGTCATTCTACCGCCAACCTTAACCTTAAAATTCGCCGCACAGCATGGTGATGTGATAGTTGAAGATTCCAAAGCCATGGGATATTTCTTTTGGAGATTTAGTCATGCCTGTCTGCAACGTTGTGCGACACATGCCGCTTGTTCCTCTGCCCAAGGATACTTGTTTCTGTATCCGGCGTACTAATAGCTAGGGCAGGAGACTGAAACGGCTGAATCATCTTGAAATCGTGATGCGAGCTGAAGCCTCGATAGAGAATGGACAAGAGCGGGCGGAGCAGTCGGGAGACAAGATGCTTCCACCTCCCCCTCACTCCAATAGCTAAATCATCGCGGAAACGCGACCCGAGCTGAGATGTTTGTGGAAAAAACGGTCACGAGCAGGCGGAGCAGTTTTGACCGCATCGCGGCTTTCATGGTCCGCTCATCAGCATGAATCTCGCTTTGGCCGGCAGTGTTGACAAAGTGCGTTTGAGGAGGCGCAACGACGAGTAAACGCACGTAGTAGCTGGGTGCCCATCTTTGGCATCGACCAGTCCTCGCTCATTTTCGCATAACAACTTGGTAACCCACGACAAATGTTGAGCTGAGATGGTACCTCGTAAGCCACTAGCCAGTAGTGGTAGGAGCTAGGTGCTGCATAAGCAGTTGCGAAACGAGGAAAATCTCACGCCGCCATTTCGACATCGGAACGGAATGAGGCGAGTTGTGCATTATTCATAACTTGTCAAAGACATTGCAACACAGGGGGTGTGGCGTCGTCTGTATCGAGATCGCGGTCGATGGATACCTGATTCCAAACTTCTCACGTCACGTTGACCTCGCTAGGGCAGCCCTATGAAGCGGGAGTTACACTCGCCACGTGCTGGACAAGAAGCATACTAAAAAGGCGCAGCCGTTCCGTACGACAGACGTTTCGTTGACGACTCGCGCGTCTGTAGTCACGCGGTTTGATGGCATTTGCCGGGCTACCACACGCCGCAACCCCTCTCGAGAGCCTAGATAACATGGTAGCAAATCGAAAGAAAAAAATGATACGTGCCTAAGCAAAAGGAGCCTACTCAAGTTACAGGTTTCTTGCTGATGTATACACAAGATGAGGCAACACTTGCTCTTGAGTAGGCCAAAGTCACTCTTGATCATATCATCAACACCGCCATCCGAAGATTCAGGCTACGCTCAGCAAGGCAATGCGCTTCAAGCTGGCAGAAGCAACCTCTTGTCATATCAACACGTGCTGTGCTCCAGGTAGACAATCACAATCCTCCCCATCGTATGAACATCTCTCCACTCACGCCTAGTGCCTCTCAGGCATCTGATGCTGCCTCTTCAGATACGACGCCTCATCAAGCACATTCTGCAGTCTCCCCTCCTCAGCCACAACCCTCTTGACCGTCTCGCTAACATTACCCTCGAGCCCGACATTACAACCCCGCGGCAACCATCTGAGGATATGAAACGCATTCGCATACACACTCGTCGCGCCGGTGACCCTCCCATCATCCGGCAGACTAGCCTGCAGTATAATCCTAAACGTTTTCAACCCCCAGCAATACCGCAAGCCGAGGCGCACGAGATCGGCAAAGCCGTCGAGAATATCGTGGTGCGAGGGTATGGTGAGAACGACGTGTTTGATCAGGCTCCTGCTGCGCTGGTGCAAGGTGCTCAGCGTGTGGATGCCGCTCGTCAGACTGAGCGTGAAGACATTGTCGCTGTACAGCACCTGCCGCGCCTCCCGATATATCGTCTTGTTCAGCCGCAGAATCTCAGGCACAATGGGATCAGAGAGCGGTACGCGCTCCGGGCCAGATGCTGCCCGCGGCCGGTGGAAAGCGTGGCCTGGTGGTTCGCGGCCGGGCACGTAGGTGGACTGCTGCTGCTGGCCGCGCGTGCCGACGTAGGCAGTGAAATTGTTGTCTTCGTCGGGTTTCTCGGGCGCGCGGTCGGCGTGCAGCAGGAGGGGGTCTTCGCGCACGAGGGCCATGTGGTAGATGTGGATGCGGAGTTCGGCGGGGAGCTTCATGAAGGGGAAGTGCGATTCGGTCAATGTGCTGGCTTCTGGTGTGAGGAGGCCACTGCGGGTTTGCGCGATAGGCGCAGGAGCGTCTTGGGGTAGGCTGGCAGAGACATTGGATGAGCATGGAGAGCGGGTGCGGAGTTTCTTAGGCGTTGGGGGTTGCGCTTTGTCTTCCGATGGTTGCACGGTACGCTTTCGGGTGTTCATGGTGGATTCGGGACCTGTGTTTGCTCCTGGGTAAGACGAACTCATCAGAAAGATAGCGATAATACAGAGAAGTTGTATATGTCCAGGTCACACGTCGGAAGATGGCCGATAAGCTGTGACGCGTTGAAGTCGCCAAGCGGTAGCGTCGTGATAGCGTTCCGCAGTAGCGTGTCCGTCTGCGCGTCGAGTCTAGACAAATACTCCTATGCTGGTGCGCTCTCAAGTATGATAGCAAAAGCTAAAATGCACCATCAGTAAACATCTCCAATGGCAACGAAGCCAATGCAGCACGCAGCCACGGGTGCGCCAAAAAAGGTTCCGGACACGACAAGAGTGCAGGTGGGTTCGGGACGCGGAGGAGTGGGTGACTGCGGGGTTTGGCAATAGCGCGTACAAAGTATCGGGACCGCGAGCGAGCAAAACGTCAGCGCGCATGAATCACATCTCACGTGTCCTACTTGTACAGTAGAGTCGGAAATCCATGGTGAACAAATATTCAATGTGAATGCGTTCACACCATAACTTTCTACATTCCTACAACCATGGTAGGAAAAGAGCAGTCGAAGTCAAAGAAAGATAATTAACGATTATAGTCTCCATGTGACAAAACATGGGTTGAGTACTTGTCACATCAGACTATTATCTACACTTAGCCACCAGCCAGCCACTAGCCACCAGTACATCATTGCTCACAGCACTCGTCCACTGTGTGTGTGTATGCAAGCCGCGTTGTGGTCAAAAGGCGGGGTGGGAACAGAAACAATAATGTATAGAAAAATAAAAGGGATTCAAAATAGAACTCACGCATTTCCATCCCTTTCTAGCTTTAAGCATCCACTTTCCTTGCTGTGTAATCCTCAGCAATTTGTAGAAGAAAGACTATAGAACCATCGAGAAGAAAGAAGACTTCGAGCAAGCCCTCAAAGCACTTGGCGGATAAAAGCTTCCACCAGGCCTCTCCTCTCTCCCTCGCCTCTACACCTCTCTCTCTCCCTTCTCCCTCTTTGATTCTCAATCCCCCCCCCTCATAAATCAATCAGATTATTAGCACCAGGTTGGCGACCCTGCTGCTGCTGCTGTTGCCCAGGCTGCTGCGCACCAAATGGATTAGCACTCCCATAAGGATTAACACCAGCACCACCGCCCATACCAAAGCCATTCACAGGCCCAGTTGCCGCAGGCATCATCCGATTCTGCTGCGGCATACCCGTAAACTGGCTGTTCAAAAATGGATTGTTACCCGTAGCATTCGCATTGACCCGGTTCAAGCCAGAACCCGCAGAGTTGACAAAAGTCCCCGGAGCAGTGTGTTGGGCTGGGATGCGCATGTTGCCCACGTTGCCAAACGTATCTTGGCCTTCACCTGTCGCGAGAAGCGCGTTGAGTCGCGCAGCGTTGGGATCCATTTCTTTTTGTGGGGGTTGGGGTATCTGCTGCTGTTGCTGAGGTGGCTGAGCTGTCTGTTGTGGCTGGAAAGATACTGGGGGGTTGAACGAGGGAGTGTTGTTGAATTGGGTTTGCGTCTTCTGTTCGCTCAGCGTGTTCAGGCTGGGTTGTGAAAACGATGTAGTTGGCTGCTGGGGTTTGTTGAACGATTGGGCGAAAGGGTTGTTGGAGCCTGTGGGCTGAGGTTTGAGGGCCTCTTGGGTGTTGTTGCTTGCCCATGGGTTGTGGCTGCCGGGCTGGAGTGACTGCTCTTGTTGCGGTTGTTGCATTTGCTGCTGATTCATGTCGCCGAAGCCGCCAAATTGACCGTAGGGGTTGTTATTGAACGAGGTTTGCTGTGGCTGAATAGTGTGCTGAGGCTGCAAGTATTGCTGCTGCTGCTGCTGGGCGCCAAACTGATCGAAGCCTGTAGGCTGTTGCTGTTGGAAGCCGCCGTAGCCGCCGTAGCCGTTCTGAAAGCCCGTCTGCTGAGGCTGCATACCGGTAGGCTGAGCGTACGCATTGTTGAGGAAACCAGTGTTCTGAGGTTGCTGCTGGCTCTGGTCCATGAGGTTGCCAAACCAGTCTACTTGACCCTGCTGCTGATATCCCTGGTTGTTACCCGTAGGCTGGTAGGTGTTTGGTTGCGCAGTGGTCTCGCCAAATAGCAGGTCTGCGTTGGTCTGTTCGAGTTCCTTCCGGCGCAGCTCCTCCTCCTCCTTGCTCAGCTTGATGGCCTTTTCCAGGTCGTCGTCCGTTTCCTCGGCCCTGTTTCCGCGTTCGCGACGCTTCTTCTCCTCCTCTGCCTCGTTCTTGCTTGCCTCGAGCGCTAGCCTGAGCTCAAGGTCTTCCTCCTCGGTCCTACGGTTGCGGCGCTGTTCACCGTTTCGCGGGCGCGCCGATCGCTCTCCGCCGTCCGGACCGTGGTGACCTCCACCGGGGTACTCTTCGATGCCTGTTACCCGCGACTTCCATGATTTCCGGTCGGCTCGCTCGGCGCGCAGTCGCTCTTCGTCGAGGATGAGGGAAGTCAGCTCTTTAGCGGCCATTCGCACTGCAGTCGTCTTAGTAACGTGCTCTTTCGCAAAGTGAGGCGCGCTTACCGTTCTGGCCTACATCGCGACCGTCCTCGTCCGTGTGCTGGAACTCGCGCAATGTCTTGATGATGTAGATGTTCTTGCGCGCCCACGTCACGACGAGCTCCGAGCCCTCATGTAGACAGTAGTCGAGCACTTTCAGCGATTTCAGAACGTGACGCCAGTTCTTTCCTCTGTCGTTGAGGCGCTTGTCGAGCATGTCCATGACCTGGTAGAAGTCGGTCGAGCTGGGTAGCAATTAGCATAGCTCGGCGCAGAGATGCAGCCGTCGTACCTATTGAAGGTGATCTGGGCGATCTCAGCCATATCAGACCCTACAGGTCCCCATGGGTCGTTGCTGGTTGCTGCGATTGTCAGCTACGCCGTATGTGCAGCTCCATGGACACTCCATACCATTGCGAACCTTGACCTCGACCTGGCTGTACCCCTTGGTGACGTTCTTGACCGATCTCGCGATTTTACTCATCTTGGCCGTATATTTTCCGTCTCAGGTTTTGCGATGTCGCAGGGTCGGAGCTGTCGGGAGGGAAGGTCGCCAGAGAGTGGCTGAGGTATACGGTAGCGTTGGGCGGATGACGTGCCACTTATGGGAACGGGCGCAAGCAATCAACTGCGCGACGAGTTGCGGTCCTCGTGAATGCCCAGCGATGGTGAGATTGGGGTAATGTGGCAGCGTGGGTTGTGGCAAGCTGGGGTAAAATGGACATGCAGGAGAGACGTGGATAGACGTAATGCGAGGCTGGTGCGCTGATGACCACCTCAGGCCGAGCGACCGAATCGAGGGTCCAAGCGCCGACGTCAGTCCCTAGCACGAGCAAGTTGGATACGGATACGATCAACTTGATAGAGAATTGCTTCAGGGCATTGCTTCACGCTCAAGAACTTGACATTGCTTAATGTACGCGCGCTTGGTGGCGATAAGTACATGGACAGGTTGCGACTGAGCTGACGAGGCCTCTCTTGTCGCCTGGGCAGCGATCTTGGGTATAATGGGTAATGCTCAATGCGCTGAGCCCGATGAGCGAATCTAGGGCAGCCAACACCATCACATAATGCACATTCGTCAGTCTTTGGTTGATGAACCACACAATGCACATTCGCCAGTCCTTGGTTGATTGATTTTATAGCTTTGAATTTTTATTTGGGCTTCCGCTCGCGCAGAAATATACTAGTTGGTGTAGTCTAAGAGCTTGTGTCGGAAATAAATCCTTCATTAAAACGACCAGTCTAACAATGACGGAAAAAAAGAGAAACCACACACACACAGACCGACACATATATGCCCCCGGACGCCCTTTGCCAAGTCTAGCATGTGTAGTATGAGAGGCACGCCACAACGCCTTGTCTCTCAGCGATAGAGAGAAAAGAAACCCGCCACCGAAATAAACCCCAGCTTCGAGATGAGGAGAAGGACTTGGAGAACAAAAAAAGAGACGACAGGAAAATTTTGATAGACACAGGGGTATAAGTCCTGCCTGCCGAGAAAACACCAGTGTTAAAGACTCGCACGTATTAGTTTTACAGGAAAACGACAACCATGACGCGAGAAGGCTCAAGCATTACATCGAATGTGTTTTTTTTAGCACCACGTCAGCTCACGCCTATTGAACAGCGGGAGCCCACATTCCGTTGCCCATCTCCCGTTGGTTGGGGTTGTAGTGGTCTGGTTCGGTGCTGTTGGGCCGGCGGATGTTGTTGTGTTGGTAGTACATGCCGTTTTGTGCCTGGTATTGCGGCTCAGGGTAGACGTAGCCGTTGTCTTGTGCGCCAGGAGAAGGAAGGGCTTGCTGGCCGGGTGATTGCCAGCCCATGGCAGACATGTGAGGGCTTCCGTTGGCGCTTGAGGTGCCTCCAGACTGGTTGTGGTTTGCGGTTGTGGGGGGCTCAAGAATCGGCGGTGGGCCGTAGGCGTTGGGGTGTGATGTGATGGCCGGACGAGAGCTGTTGGAAGCATACGACTGGGCTGTGAGTGCGGGCGAGGCACGTGGGCTGGGCTGGGGCATCTCATGACGCATGTGTGGAGGGACGTTCATACCGCCCATGTAGGCGTAGTCGGAGCCCTGACGATGCAGACCAGGCATACCGCCAGCAGGCATACCGTTCGCCGGAGAAAGGGAGAGTGTACGGTCGTTGGGCGAGGGAGTGCCGAGTGGTGACGCCGTCTCGGAGTAGTCACCACCATCGGAACGACCGGTTCTGCTCGAGGCAGAAGCACGGGATGCGAGCGCCGCAGCAGTAGCAGCGGCCGCCTCCTCAACAGTACCAGTGTGGTGGTTCTGGTGACGGGTCAAGGTAGTGCGGCGCGTAAAAGTCTTCTGGCAGTCGGCGTACGGGCACTTGTATGGGCGCTTGCCAGAATGGATACGACGATGGCGGGCCAGCGAACTTGAGTCGCTAAAAGGCTAGTCGATGTTAGCTACGAAGGCAGAATACAAGGGCCAGAACATACCTTTCCACATCGCTCGCACATGTGAGGCTTCTCGCCGGTGTGGACACGTTGGTGGACAGTCAAAGCCGAGCGCTGGATGAACTGCTTGCCGCAGTTGGGGTAGTCGCACACGTGAGGGCGGATACCGCTGTGGATACGTTCTGCATGTCTCAGTCAGTGCTTTGCTTTTGGTGTTGCGGCCCAAGCTTCTTACCATGACGTGCGAGGTCACTGCGTCGCGCGAAGCCTTTACCACATGTCGAGCACGCGAAGGCCTTAGGTGGACCCGTGTCCGATGCGGGGCGCCCACCGTTGTGTTGGTGTTGTACCTGCGCATCCGCCATCTGCTGTTGCTGCTGGGCGTACGCGTGGTCTGGCGGGTTTGGAATGTAATTGCTGTTGTTGAGCATGGGCATGGGCGCCTGCATTTGCGAAGGCGATGGGTATCGCAAGCCGTTCATGTGCTGTTGGGGGATGGATGGGTACGAGGGAAGCTGCTGCTGCGGTTGTTGCGACGAGTAGCGCGAAGAGTCTGACGGGTGAGGCGACACGCCACGTTCCGAGCCGTTCTCCGACTTGATGTGGCCGCCATTGAGGTACGAGGGCGGCGCGCCGAAATGTTGGGGCTGCATTGCGTGCTGCATGTTGAGCGCTCCGTTTCCTAGCGAAGCTGTTAATCTCTGGTTCAGGATAGTGTCGAGCTCCATTTGCAGCGTGTCTCGCTCAGGAGCGTGTTTCGCGACAGACGGCGACTGTGAGGCAAGAGCACCAACAGGCTTGAGACGCAAAAGACGGGATGGTGCGCACCAAATGAGGCTGAGAGGCTGTGGTGATGATGGAATCAGCAGGCGTCGGGCAAAGACGCAGTGGTGATGTTGGGGGCGTCGTGTTGGCACGTCGAGTCGTCGTCGAGGGGGGCCGCGCGTAGGTCAATGCAGCGGATGCACTGTGTCGCGATGTCAGTTGAGGGTTGAGCGAGCGTGGTGTTGCAAAGTGCAGGTAAAAGGTGAAAGAGCGGCGCGCCAAAAATTGAGCGTCTGGCAGTCACGCTGGCCACGTCTGAAGAGTGGAAAAGGGGAGTGGAGCGGTGAGAAGGACCTGCAGCGGGAATGCGCGGGCTGCACGGGGCGAAAGGGAATCGTGCAAAGCGGGAGTACGTACCTGAGATAGATATAGACGGAAGAGAGGGCAGGGCAGGGGATGGCGGTGATGGAGAGCGTGGTGTTGGAGAGTCTGCAGGTACTTCTTTACTCGTTGCGCGTAGTTGCCCAGAAAGTCCAAATGACGCTAGTCTGGATTCGGCCTTGGGCGGATCCTTCCAGGGCTAGTTGACAAAAAGGGACCACGATGTGCGTGGTGCAGGCAGATGCGTGCGAGTCCAAGCGTCTGAGTGTCCACCACACTGACACTGGCACCAAAAGTTATACTGTCGCCTATGCAGAAGAATGAAGAAGCGAAACTGAGGTAGTCGGATAGTCCGCGGCGAGTGGTAGCTGAAGAAATGGGGCTGAGAGCCGTCTCTTGGATAGGATGCGCAGAGAATTACGAGAGCCCAATGACTGTCAACAATTGATGGTGACGTTGACGGTCCTCTACACTTTGGGCCGGGTTGCTGATTAGATTGCTTCCGCCCAACAATATGGTAGGCAACTTTTTGGTGTATTAAGATGGGGGCGCTGGTCGATCGTGTTCCTTCCTACCGCCGGCAAAAGAAAAGGTGAATCGTGGCTGCATCAGAGTCAGTCTTGCTTCGCTGACTGTGTCTCACTACCGTACCTTGCGCTGATTGGTCGTTGTGCTTCGGCCGTCGCAGTCGCAGTCTGTGATCTGGAGATGTGGTGCGTGTTAAAGGGAACGCTCAAGCATCCTTCTCATGGCATGGAGCAGGGCACGTTCAAATACACACGATCAATGCATCGCGACGCAGCCAACTGTGGAGCGACCCTATCCTTGCGTTCATCTCGCGCTCGCGACACTACAGCTTCACCATGACCTTTACTGTTAGCATGCCGCTGCTAGCTGTCAAGGAGCTGGGGCAGTCTTGCGACCTTGTTTGAGGCGTATGTGGCGCTTTTGTGCACAGATGAGGATCCACAAGCCGACGGTAGTGTACTCTTCATCCAACTTCAACGGCGATTAAGTTCTATTTCCCGTTGCAACAGCGATACCGCGACATGTACAGTGATATTCGTGAGTCATCGCAATCGCGATCGCGATGTCGATCTGTCTCGTCCCCTATTGTCTCCCTGTCTCCCCACCACACAAACACACACGCGTCGGGCTGCAGCACCAACAGCCATTCCGCGGTTCCTGGTGCAAGCCAGGATTAGGGAGCATGGGCCAAAAATGGAAGGCACATAGAAGGCCGCTAGAAGGAGGGAAGGCACGGTGCATAACACTTGCTTAGAGCGTGCAGCAGGCGACAAGACAGCGAGCCACCCACCGGCCCCGGCGCAAGCTGGGTTTGAGACAGCGAGAAGAAGCATAACACTTGAATAACCAACGCATTGCCTTTGCAGTGACATTTCCTATTGGCCGACGCTCGTTCATTTTGTGGAGGTTGGAGACGCCCCTCTGCCTTACGAGACACCCGCCGACGCCCCCTGAGCGCCGCCGAGTCAATCGTCCAGGGCTCGCGAACGGCAGGTCTGCGTCGTGTACACCGCCACCACGAGGCCGCATGTCAACGTTGTAGACCTGCATGAGTTCTGAGTTCTGAGAAATGAGAAATGAGTGCAACTGCAATCGAAATACTGCAATCGAAATATTTGCATCCTCTGCGATATGCCATGTCTCCCTGCTCTGCTCTTCCCGGCAAGCGCATCCCCCCTTAGCACGTCTTTGTTCGGCCAAGTCAGGTACAAGTCAGGTACTCTCTTACTTACCACTCCAGTTCTAGCCAAGCCCTCGCCCACCGACACCGACATTTGCATCTTTCTCCTGGCTTTGTTGCGGTGAAGGGGTCCCGCATATCGACAACTCTTTGCAGCCTGGCGCTCTTTCGGTATACTTCCGCCAGATCCGTCTGTGCTTGCGCG